ATCTGGAAGTGGTGATCTGGGCCCGTGAGGGCCCAGCAACGTGTCTCATATGCGTTGTACCATCTCAGGAGATGCTGAACCTGTTGCAGCATCTTGGTGTCTGTCCTACTGCCACCCTCACGTTCACCATCATGGGCCCGCTCTCCCTATTCCAAGAGCGCATGAGTATTATGTGAACGCGTCAACAAAGTTAGAACCGCGGACAAAAACGCGAGTTGACCCACCCGTGGCCACTCAGGCCTGACTTCCCTCCCCACTCACTTGCACACTAGAAAAGCGTGCTGAGACTTCCCTTCCGCCCAGTTTGGGGCGGAATAACCATTCCTCTAATGTTGTAGAGTGTGACCGCACCGAGCCACCCAGCGCTTCGCTGTGTAAAAGTCTCATTGACTCTCCTGCCCCAGTGGGAGCCAAGTGTCGATCTAGCGACATTGTGAGGGCCCAAGCGACTTGTTTACCATCGGTTTTAGATGGGATCGGCAGCGCTTCAGCTGCTGCCAAGTGCCAGCTCATAGAGCTACCCGGGCGCTTCGGCAATTCCTGGGTTTGACAACCCAGATACTCCTTACACACTCCCAACCCCCTACTCATCCTGATCTGAGGGAGGATGGATTCGAGGGGCCTCACAGGCCCTCTTCACGCCAAGAGGAGCGTTTTTCCTGGCGCTTTTGAGTGCCAGGTCACCAGGATGCTCCGGACCACGGACCTGGTGGTTCATGACTCCCTACCCCTTCCATGGAAAGGAGACCAACCCTTTCTAAGGAAAGGGTTCTCATCTATTATGGTTATAGATGGAATCGGCAGCGCTTCAGCTGCTGCCAAGTGCCAGCTCATAGAGCTGCCCAGCGCTTCGGAAATTCCTGGGTTTGACAACCCACATCAGGAAGTTCGGAACCTTCTCCTGGAGTTGAGAGAGCGCCAGGAGTGCATGCGGCTTCAGGAGGTCCTTGCCCCCTCTCGGAGCAGCAGGAGCGAGTGCTCTCCCGGCTCTCATGGCCCTGGGCTCCCATGGCTCCTCGTGGTTTCTGGTCATAATGCTCCACATACTCCGGTCACTCTCGGAATTCTCCATAATTCTCAATCATTCCGTCCATTATGTGATCGCATCGACATGCGAACTGTATCCATGATAATTAAAAATGTAAAAACATGTTTGTTCTAGTCGGAATCACTCCATCCACCAATGTTCCCCAGAGGCTTCTCTGCAGCGGCAACAATCATCCCACTGTTCTCCTCATACAAGTGCTCTCTTTCCAGTGCACGCCTAGTAAAATTATGAGTTCCCAAGGACATCAGCATACCAAGTCCAGACCCACGCAACCGTCCAAAATAACTCGGCACAAATCCGTGCCCATCTCTTTGACTTCCTGACTGAGAATTCTTGAAGGTCGATCAAGTGGTTTTCATGGATGGAGCTGAACCGTGAAGCTGCGAACTCCGTTTTATTGTTTGCAATATTCTGGAGCGCGCAATGAATCTAGATATATGATAATTAATGAATCACAGTGCTCCACACCTTCATGCCACTTACCGCTGAGAGTGCGAGAGCGATGAGCTCACGGTGGTCATTAAAGTCCTTGAAATTGTCCAGATATAATTCACCCAGACGCTGCGGGATGTGCTGTAACTTGTAGTGGAAGAAAACCATGATAACTTCGGCAATCAAGGGGTGTTCGTATGGACCACCCTTCTAGATACAGGGACAATTGTCAGTATCCAAGCTAACAGAAAGCCTGGCAAGCGCACCGTAGTATAGTCGTGCCAAATGTAATTAAACCCATCCAATAGTTCCGTTGCTTTCTCAACCTGCTCAGTACTGGCTAAATCAGCGAGATTATAATGATCCTTGATTGCCTGGATGGCTTGCGTTCGGAATCTATTGCGAAAGTTTGAGACAATCCTGATCAGCTGTTAGTACGTGAGGTTGGAAGATTATAAGCATATCCCACTTGATGAATACACCAGAATATTACACACTGTTGTTATCATGAGTGGCTTCACAGTAAACTGGTCGCGCGACAGTCCAAGTCTTTGGGCAGTTCCCATCAGAGCATCATGGGCAAATCGAGCATGTACAGAGGTGTCTTCATTTCGTAACCCATTGGTCTTGTGCTTGCCCAGGGACCAGGGGTTTGTTGCAACGAGCCGAAGGAATGCTACGCGTGACTGGGTGACAACAGATGAGGTGTCATCACCTTTCCGGCGCCAGAAGTCCAAGGTCGCATCTTTCACGGTTGGCTCACCCTCTGTCCGCTGCTTCCTCTTCTTGACAGAGCCCTTTGGCCCAAGACTAGCAACACCATGTACTGTGACAGATGCTGCATTAGAGGGGCTGGGCTGATCGTGGTTGCTGGTTGTGGCTTGTTCATCGCGGTGATGTTGAATTGGGCTAGAAGAGAAATTGTATGGTGCAAGTTTGGATTGTGAGGTAGACCCAGTTTCACGTCGGCGGTCATGGGTCTAGGGAACAAACAAGGTTCTTAGTGAGGAACCGATTGAATTTAAAAATTACTTCTCACCCCTGAGCTATACACTCGGATGCGTCCTCGGGATGGCCCAGCGCTTGGCTCAAGTTGCTCCCACGTGGGACCTAAGCTGATGTTGAGTCATACACAGGTAGTGGGACTGCTACCTGCTACAAACCGTTGTCATTGTTGGACTGAGCACTGTTTTGTTCGTCACTACGCTGAGACCCAGAGTTGGAAAGAAAATCCGGATCCTCCCTTTCAGCCAGTGCTTCCTGCTCCGATGAGGGAGAGTCTGCGTTCATGCTATCTTTGCCATTAGTATAACCTGGCTGAGGTCGCAGTCTTGATGTAGGACTTTTTTGATGTCTTGCAGGATAACTGGCATGGACAGCAGTGGGGGAAACTGATTCTTTCAATGGGAGGATGAGTGATGGGAGACTGAAGGACATTCCGACTTACGAGGCTTTGCTCGCTTTCCACTCAATGCTCCCTTCTCTGCTCTTGCAAGGCGGCGTTTCTTGGACTTTGCTACATCTGCTTCATGAGTGGCAATTGCAAGAGTTGGGCGCTGTTGTCGCTTTCTAGCAGCAGTAGCCACCGGCCCCAACTCCGCATCTGATATGGCCTCATTGTTGGTGGATCCAGTCTTCTCTGAGTGCTGTTCTCGGTGATTGCGAGTGAAGTAACTGAACTGGAATGGAAGGTCGCTGTCACTGGAATCACCCAGTGCATCACTGTGTGGCAGGCCTCTGTGTTGCATGGTCTTGCTGCGTCTGTGTGGCATTATTGATGCAACGATGGAGAGGGGACAGTCAGGATGATGAAGGGGAAGGACTTGGAACTGCGGCAAGAAAAAAAAAGTTAGTTGGATTATGTAATGGAAGAGGCGGCACTCTCGCCACACGGCAATATTTGCCTCTGTGCCAAATATGCATACACAAAAAATTCAGCACTCACTGACGTGACCTAGTAACCTCTGAGCCAAATCCATGCCCCCAGCTAAACACCATTCGAAGGTCTCATCTTGCTCAAAACCACCTAACATCGCGTATATTTGTAACTACTGCACGGACCGACGGCCATTTGCAACAAACCGGGCACTGCAAAGCCATATATCAGCATCCTCAAGATGTCTCAAGGGGAAATTAGCCGAGATGGCTTATTATGTTCCGTCAGCAGAGGCAATAAACTCCGACTCAGCTGAACCCAACAATATAGAGCAACATGACGCCCAATATGATGGCACCCCCAATTGGCTTGATGCCTTTGATCCTCCCGAGGCCGGGGTCAGCTCTGGCAGCAACTTGAATGGCGACTTGGATTCGGAGGGTGACAACAGCGACAATGGCAACAATGATGGCAACAATGGAGACAACGGTGATGATGGCGACAACAGCAACAACGGTGATGAAGTGCCCATTGACTCACTATATTCTTCTGAAGATCATGGCTCCTGTCGTCTAAATGGGACCCCAACTGCAGCCACTTCTTTTGCTGTATTTAGACGAGAGGGTGGGATGAGCGTTAGGGCAGCAACTAATGCTCAGAAGATGGCATCTCCGTGGTCTTCAAGGTCCAATTTTGGCAATGCTGGCTCACCCTGTTCCCCATGGAAATCCCCAGATGAGTGGGAGCTGGTGCAATGGTTGTGTCGGAGTGAGCTGTCGCAATCAGAAATAAACAAATATCTGCAACTCAATGTTGTGAGTATGATCCTTATTGCGAAAATGATCTTTCCATACTGATGATTGTGTCGCTCACCTAGGTGCGCAGCCTTGGCCTGTCCTTCTCTTCAGCAAAAGAGATGTATGCAATCATCCGAGCCTCACTTCCCAAAGGACCCCCCTTCCAACATGCCACAATTACACTGAAAGATGCTCCCGATGAGCATCATGAGCTCTATTTCAGAGATATAATGGCATGCACAGCGTTGCTCTTCAGTAATCCTGACTACCAAGAACATATAGATTACGAACCTGAAGAACTCTTTGGTCTCGATGATGATGGCAGCCCAATCAGAAACCGTGTCTATGCAGAGCTGAGTTCTGGCCAGATTTGGAATGAAGAACAGGTATGTGGATCGAAGTATAAATTGCACTAAACCATATTGACCTCCGAGTCCAATATTAGCTCCGGCTAGAACAAAATGGGTTGGGAGACTCAACCATACTGGCGATAATACTTGGTTCCGACAAAACTCACCTAACAAATTTTTCTGGTGACAAAAAGATGCACCCAATCTATCTCTCTCTTGGAAACATTCATAAATCCATACGAAATAAGCCAACCAAACGGGCCTGGTGCCTATTAGCAAACCTGCCAATCAGCAAATTCTCGTCACAGGAATTTGATGAGAGTCACTTAGCTGATGAGTCCAAGGGGATGCCCAGTCTCCTACAGAAAATACTTTACCATGAATGTCTTCGCATAATCCTTAGGCCACTCCGCAACCATTCCGGACTCAAGGGTCCAATTGTCCCAGTTCCCTTGCTTGATGCTCACGGAATGATACGGATGTGCGTGCCAATCCTCATGGCATGGATAGCTGATTTGGAGGAAGTCCTTGACCTCCTTGGACTTCGGCGAAATCGGTGCCCTAAGTGTATTGCTGGCTACGAGGACCTTGGTGGCAACCAGGTTGGGGCCAACCCAACCCCAACCCGAACAGGTGAGGACATTCTGAAAGCACTACGCAAACTTCGAACAAGGTTCCCCAAGGCCACAACCTGGCAGTTTTCTGTGAAAGGGAGAGATCTCGGACTGCTCGGGGTGGAGAATCTATGCTGGGAAGGGCTTTCAGTGGACATCTGCCGAGTTGTGTGTCTTGACTTACTCCATGGGTTGCACAAATATATCAGTGATCACCCGAAAGCATGGATCACCAAAACGATTGGAGTAGCCGAACTTGATGCATGCTTCATTGCCCAACCTTACCGGAGAGGACAGCGCACATTCCATAACGGCATATCTAAGATCTCACAGTGGTCTGGCCGTGAAAACCGAGATTTTCAGCGTCACCTAGCCGTCACTGTTGCAGGAGCTTACGAGAAGGGGACAGGGAAAGAATCCCCACGTATGATGCAGGCAACTCGCTCCCTGCTTGATTTCTCTTACAAGGCACAGTTTCCGGTCCATTCAGACATCACTTTGGAGTCAATGATCCATGATCTGAAGGTTTACTATTCAAGTGTTAGGGTGTTCATCGAGAATGGTGCCCGCTGTAATGGGAAGGGCGTACCGATTAGCCATTTCCGAATCCCCAAGCACCACAACCTCTGTCACTTCATGGATGATATTCGCGATCACGGAACACTGGACAACGGTTCATCAGAGATAACTGAGGCATTGCATATCCCCACTTGCAAAGTCACTTACCATGCGACAAATCGAAGAGGATTCACCACCCAAATTCTCGATCAGCTTCAACGTATTGATTCCCTCTCCATTTATTCATCGATTCTGGAATCCAAAGGGATTAGTCAGTCTCTGCCGTCAAAGCGTCATGGTGGCGGAACTTACTCAGATAATGGTATCGCTAGAGGGCTCTCTCCACGCTTGGACTCCAATGCCGCAGTGATCACCGTCTCAAAACGTCCACAATCTACTGGGATGGCAATTAGTACGGCCTCATCCAAGTTCTCCGCCCCGGACCTTGTGTCAGCAATGCTTCGATTTTTTGTGTATAACCGGGACATGGGCCTCAGACATGGTCCAAACCGGTACTATTACGCCAGCACCATGCCACTCCCACTTTCAATTAGCTCGGTTGATATCTGGCATGCATTCAAACTTCAGTGCCCTCCACCCAATCCGTTTTACACACCTTTGTGCACCCGAGTAGCATGTTCGCCTCCTCATGGGGACCGTGCAGCAGCCTACAGCACAGTGCTCATCAGCGTAAATGATGCGTGTGCTAAAACAGATGTTCATCGTAAGTTAAAATCTTCTAAATTATACCTTCCTGTTATTGAAGCATGGGGACTGCTCTTGAAACAGGTTATCGGGTTGGCGAGGTTCGGATCGTCTTTGCTTTGCCTAGTGATCAAGAAACAGAAGCTGCCAATAACCGAAAATTGTACGCGTTTGTTCATTGGTTCAGCCCGATCTCCAATCCAAATGCACACATGCATCTACGTACCGTGAAAAAGGTAATATCGAATGGCGTCCCTGATGGTGGTGTCATTCCACTTTCATGTGTTGTAGCACCGTGCCCGCTAGCACCTATCCTCACAGGGCAAATCCGCAAAGGGAGTGTGAAGAGTACCACCTGTATGGAGACGCAAACGGAATTTTACATCAATCCATTTGCAAGTCATTTTGATTATGAAATGTACGCTTAGTACTCACCAATCAGTTTGTATATAACGTTTGTATACCAATAACAGTGCTCGGGTATTCAGTCTACGCTTGCACTGCAGACCCGCTACTATGGGGCAGTGGTAGCAACTTGAAGAATAACTCGCCAATGGTGTGGAATGCCTTCACCTATTGCCTGAAACGGTATCAGCGACCATACAAAATGTCACCGATAAACCCTAGTCAGGTGTGGTCAAGAGCCAGAGCACACTGGCATCATGAACGAGTGGAAAGTTGAAGATGAACAGAGAGTACGAGTACTGCGAAGGAGAGAACATGGGAGATGGGCGTACGTGGGCCGTCGAATATATGGGATAAGTAACACCAGCGGCATGAATGCCACCGGTGAACAGCAGTGGTTTGGGGTTGGGTGGCAAGAGCAGCCTGAGGGCAGGACAGAGAAACGGGTTGATGAACGAGAGCATGTGGAGCATGAGGAGCACGTGGAGAATGGAGGAGCAACGTGATGTGAGAGCGCCAGGAGCACGTGGAGATGGAAGAGCATTAGCACAGCATGGCAATGCTCTGGGAGTCGGGGGAGCCAAACCGAGTTTGCTGATGCAGCAGCACCTACTCCCTCCACTCTGCAGGAAGTCGAATCCGAACCGCCTCCTTGGCCTTCTGCAGGCCAAGAGGGATGCTTTCCTGATGCTGTTAAGTGCCAGGTCACCAAGATGCGCGATGCTGTTCCACATCGCGATTTTGGTGATTCATTATTCTCCACCCCTTCCGCGGAAGGGAGACCAACCCTTTCTAAGGAAAGGGTTCTCATCTATCGTTCACTGCATAGTGAACGATCTGTTCTGCCCACAGACACTCCACCTCTGGGAAAGTCTGTGTGTTCCCGGCATTATTGGGTGCCGGGCCCCCAAAATGCGCGGTGCTTCTTTGTACTGCGCTCATTTCTCTGTTGCTTTTCCATCTGGAAAAGGGTTCTCTTCTGTCGTTCACTGCATAGTGAACGATCTGTCTTGCCAACAGACACCCCACCTCCAAGGGAAGGTCTGTGTTTTCCTGGCACTGTTGAGTGCCAGGTCGTCAAAATGCGCGGTGCCTCTCTGCACCACGCTCATTTCCTTATTGCCTTCCCATCTGGAAGGCTGGCCCTTTCTAAGGAAAGGGCTTCTCTCTATTGTTCACTTCACAGTGAACAAGCTGTCCCACCGACGGACAAGCCGCCCCCAACAAAAAAAACCCGTGTCTGAATGATCAGACATGCTCAGTCCTGCCCAGTTCATGGGCCGCACTTCCATTCTGTCACTCATATGGACAGAATGACCTCTCTACTCCCCTAGATGACTATCTAGGGAGGAGCAGATCACTGCTCAGAACTCCGGCCCACATTCAAGTGTGGCGGAAATTTTGTCTTATTTTTTTAACCTAGGTTCCTAGGTTGAATTTTCAACTACTCCCCCAGACAACTGTCTAGGGAGGAGAAACAAACCCATGCCACTCTTTAGTGGTTATCTTTGTGGGTCAGCATCGCGCTGACTCATATCAAACTATTATTTTACTCCCAGAGAACACTCTAGGGAGGAGCGGCCTCAGTGACCTTTGGAATCACTGGCCATCACCGGGGTATTGACCTTCGGTGAGTTATTTGTGTCACCAGAGTATCAACCTTCAGGTGTGGAATCACTGGCCATCACCGGGGCATTGACCTTCGGTGAGTTACTTCCGTCACTGGAGTATCAACCTTCAGGTTGACTGCTTCATCTCTTGCTGGGTGGAAGCCATGATGCCGCAAACTTGTGGGCATTATAAACTTGTGCCCAATCCCGCAGCGGACCAATTCAGGTGTCACTGCCTTTTCTCATCAACAACAATGCCGTTGTTGGTTCTTTTCCTTTCCTTTTTTGATTTTTGACGGTGACTCAACCGTTACTCTAGCTTGTCATATTGACACTTGCTACTTCATCGTCGACAATGCTGTTGTCGAGAGCTGGGTACATATGTTCCAGGAGAAACTCTAAGTGGGCTTTGCCTACAAACTACTACTATAGCCTCCTGCAATGAGTGTACCCCCGCTTGCATACATTCTTTGTATGTAGAGTGTTATATTTCCTTAATATGCTTGCTTTCCCTTTCATATGCTTGTACCCTGTCTGCGATTCAATATCGCAAGGGAGGAGGATGTAAGGGATTAACCTTACTTCACTATAATTCCGATTATAGTGATATTTATATTATGTTGCATCACTATAATTCCCATTATAGTGATGTGTTTATTTCTTTATTTATTTGTGCCGAGATATGTAAATTACATATATATACCTCGGAGTAGTTGTAAAGGCCCGGTAGCCTTTTACCTCTACCCCGTTGAATATACAGCTCATTAAAGCTTATGTTTAGACGGACCTACTGAGGCCTGAGGCGAACGGGGGAACGGAACATTACCGTCCCCAAAATAGTAAGCAACCTTTCAGGCGATCAGGGGAGCGGGGTTAGGTACATAGTGGTACATGGAGAAAAGGGAAATCGACCATAGAATAGAAATAGAGAGAAAAGGGGAAAGTGAGAAAGGAGGGATGGGGGGTGATAGCGGGGAAAGCGGAGTAGGGCCATACGGTGCGGGGTGCGGCGCAGGGTCAGGCAGGTGTGCCCTGACATCACCCCCCCCTTAAGCCGCTTCGCCTCAAAGTGGCTGGGCGGTTCTCCTTCTCTCTCCCCGGGGCGTGGGGGTGCGTTCGGTGGAACTCCTCATCTAGGTCGGAGGCGTGAGTCAGGTGGTCGCGCGTGAGCCATTGGTTTTCCAAGTGTGGCCAGCCTGTATACTTTACCAGGTACCGGAGTTTTCGGCGTAGCCACTTAGAGTCCAGGATTTTCTCGACCTCATACTCCTCTTCTCCATCTATGAGGTCTGGGCCCAGGCAGGGGTCAGCGGGGCGTTCCGCAATTTCATCAGGGCGGTGCGGTCTGATGTTCGTCACGGATACAACTGGGTGGATCCCTCTCTGTCAGGCAGTGAGCTGGAGTTTGACGGCGGCGGGGGAGACGACTTTAACGATTGTGAAGGGGCCAGTCCATTTATGGTCTAGCTTCTTGGTCGGGCGATTGGTTGTATAGTTCTGGGTGCTGAGCCAGACCTGGTCACCTTCTTGGTACGTAGGGGCCGCCTCGTGGTTCCGGTCATAGTAGCGGGCCATCTCGTCCACCGCATGCTCTAGCGCCGCCTTCGCCTCTTCCTGCATCTTCATCATCCTCGATGAGAAGGCGTCAGTGGCTTCTACCTCTGATGTGCATGTGGGCTCTGTCCCCATCCTGGGGTGTTGGCCAGTATCGAGCTCGAAAGGGGTACGGCGAGTGGAGGAGTGGACACGGTTGTTATAGGCGAACTCCGCTAGCGGGAGCCAGTCCGCCCAATCATCTTGGCAGTGGTTGACAAACACCCTAAGGTAGGCTTCCACTTCTTGGTTTACTCGTTCCGTCTGCCCATCTGTTTGGGGGTGATAGAGGGTCGAAGGGGTGAGCTTGACGCCGAGGAGGTCTGTGAGTTCTTTTGAGAAGCATGAGACAAAGGTGCTCCCTCTGTCACTGAGGATCTCTTCAGGGAGGCCATGGTGCTTCCAGACGTGTTTGAGGAAGAGCCGTGCGATTCCCACTGAATCCACCGTCGTCACTGTTGGGATTGCGTGGATGCGTTTGGACAGGCGATCCACTACGACCAGCATGGCATTGTAACCCTTTGACTCGGGGAGTTCTCCAATCATGTCCACCGAGATCACTTGCCAGCGGCGAGCGGGGATCTTGTTCGGGATGAGCTTCCCCACTTTACGGGAGGGGAAGGATTTGACACGGTTGCAGGTGTCGCATCCGCGTACATACCGCCTGACATACTCCGCCATCCGTGGCCACCAGTAGTCGCGGGAGACGAGTTCCAGGGTTTTCCACCGCCCTGGGTGCCCCATCGCCCGCGCATCGTGGTGGAACCACACCAAGTCATGGCGGAGTTGCGGGTCTTTCGGTACGTATACCTTTCCTCTGTACAGAACCAGCTCTCCTTGCCTCTCCCACTCATCCGACCTCAGCGTGCCTTCCCCAAGCTCTCGCATCGCCTTCACCACCTTCTCATCTAGGTCTTT